ACATTGGAATCTTAGACCTAAAAATATCCTTCATCCTTCCAAATGCAGCCCAAGCGAGGTTTATTCTTCTTTTCAGCTCGATTGTTTGGTTGTCTCGACTTATTCTGATCTCATGGCCTAAGTATTTATAGGAGTCAACTGGCTCAATATCTTTGTCTTCTACTGAGATGTTTTTGTTGTGGACTAAATTTGTCATAAATTGTGTTTTTGAAAAATTTATTTTAAGACCAACTCTTTTTGTGGCAGTATGGAGTTCTTGGAGCATTATCTGTGCCTGATCAAAGCTGTCTGCAATAAGAACGATATCATCTGCAAATTTAAGGTTATTTAAAAATTTTCCATCTACATTGATGCCCTTTTCGTTCCAATCTATTGTTTTACAAGCGTATTCTAGCAAAGTTGTAAATAATTTAGGAGACATGTTGTCTCCTTGCCGAACGCCTCTTTCAATACGAAAAGTCCCAGTATCTTCATTAAGTCTTACACAGGCTGTAGCATGTTGATAGATGTATCTGATGAGAGATATGTATCGGTGATCTATTCTACATTGTGTTAGAGCTTGGAGCATTTCACTTTGATTGACCGTATCAAATGCTTTTTCAAAGTCGACAAAGACAAGTATCAGGGGTCTATTATATTCAATGGTTTTTTCAATCAACGACTTAATGGTTTGCAAATGATCATTTGTTCCGTATCCAGCTCTAAATCCTGCTTGCTCGCAAGGTTGATAGAAGTCTAGTTTTGATGTCAACCTATTAGTTATTATCTTCATAAACAACTTATAAACGTGAGATAACAAGCTAATAGGTCTATAGTTCTTTAGCTCTGTTATATCTCCCTTTTTGTGCATGACTACTATAACAGCTTTATTCCACTGAGATGGTGTAACCTCGTTTGAAAGGCATAAGTTATATAATTGCGTCAATGCTTTCAATACTGTCTTTCCTCCTGCTTTAACTGCCTCAATAACGATTTGATCATCACCAGCTGCTTTATTGTTTTTCATTCTATTTAATGACTTTAAGACTTCTTCGATTGTTATTTCTGGGATATCCTCTGAACCCACATTCTGGACTTTTCTCAACTTGGTGCCGTCTTTCTTCCCCCTTTCTCTATATAATTCTGTGTAAAATTCTTCAACTACCTTAATTATCTTATCTTTATCTGTTACCACTTTTCCATTTCGATCTGCGAGCTTAACAATGTTCTTCTTACCTAGAGCTTGACATCTCTTCAGCACCTTTAAACTTTTATTTTTCTCGACAACCGTTGTAATCTTTTTTGTGTTATATTGTCGTACGTCCTTTCTCACTGCTTTATTAATATCTTTATTAAGTTGTGTAGACGCGTGCATTCGTATCGTTTTTGTTCTTAAGTTCTCTTCGTGCCTCCATAAGTCTTTTTGTTTCTTGACTGAGCTTTTCCTCCTTATCTCTCCTAGAATTTGTATTGCACTTTTCTCTGCGTTCTTAATAGCTTTTATTAAGTTATCATTTAAGGTTTCGATATCCATAACGTCTATATTTGTTGTCTCTAGACATCTCAGAATTTCCTCTTCGAAGGACATGGTGTTTTCGATTTGATTCCATTCTATTGGGTGTGTTTTTGTTATCATTTTGTATCTTTGTTTTTGGAGATTTAGCACGATCTTCGCTCTTACCATTCTATGATCACTTCCCACTGAACAGCTATTAAGAACTGTTACATCATGGATCATGTCTTTGTTGTTGGTTAAGACAAAATCAATTTCATTTTTGAAATTCTACGAATTGCTTCTTAACTAAACTTGCCACTAATTAATTGCTTCTCAACTAAAACGCTTATCTTATTAAAACGACATCCGGTCGGTAGTAAAAAAGATGGGATCAAACCGGGATGTTACCGGAACTATAATACTACTGTACCTAAACCAGAAATTGTCACACTCTATAATAGTATCAAAGATATTGATGCAGTGGCTATAGGGTATGATGTATGTTGATCTACGGATTGATGAATGTTCTGCTAGTACCGAATTCGTAATTTATAATTCAAAGAACTCTAAATTCACACATTTATAGAAGCCAGCCAGAAGCAGCTATTAAGTTATTTGAGTAACAATTCCCGAAAAAGCCAAGACATTTTATGTTTCGCAAAAGAAGGAAAATAAAAATTGACTACCAGTACGTTAGAAATAAACTATGCGATTATTTAAAATATTATGGCAATGAACTAGTCATTTTTCATTGTATACTTAATTGAGAACAATAGTTATGATTAATTTAAATAAATCATTGACATTTTCATTAGTTATTCCACTCATGCGAATGACGTCCGAATAAAGACGACCTGGAAATTTCATTTGGTTTGTTTATATTAATATGTATTTATTATCTGCGACAGAATAGTTTTTATGAAGAAGCTTGATTGTTATGTGAAGATAATTAATTACGGATAAGGTACGTCGTGTACGAGGACTGATCATTAATTTTCAGGAAATTTTGAATTGCGTGGCAATATTGCCATCGAGCGTTGTGCTATTTGGTTAATATGACTCAATTCATTCATGTTTTTTATTGTTTTTTATCTTTTCCCTTATTTTCACTTCTTGGGATATTTTTGCTTAAGGTTTATGGTCTCTGAAATTTATTTGCAGAGATTACTGTATTTTCTCTTTCTTGGTCTGTCTTTTTGCAATCTTTGTTTCGTTTAATCTTATTGTTCATGTGAACTACTACTACTATCGGTTTACAGCGTTCTCCGAAGCCTTCCGACTCCTAACCGGCATTCTTCTCTATTTAACCATAGGTCTGGAGGGATTTCTCTTTCCTCTAGTTCTTTTTCAATTCCCTCTCTCCAGCTTCTTCTCGACCTTCCTCTTTTCCTTCTCCCTTGTGGTGTCCACGTCAAAATATGTTTCGGAATCCTGTTATCTGGCATTCTCTGTACATGGCCGTACCATATTAACTGTTTTGTTTTATGTCATCAACTATTGTATGCTTGACTCCCCCCATTTCTCGTATTCTCTCATTCGGTATCCGATCCCTTCTTGATTTGCTTACTGCTCTTCTCTAGAAGTCCATTTCTGTTGCTAGTAACAGTTTCTCTGTTCTTTGTTTCATTGGCCAAACTTCCCTGCCATATGTGATTACACTTTTAAATATGGTGTTGTATATGAGTTGTTTATTCGCTTTAGATATTGTTTGGTCCCACAGAATGCCGTTCATCACGGATAAGGCTTTTCTACCCTGTATGTTTCTGTTTTTTATAGCAACCAGTTTGTTCCCTCTAGAGTTATTTTCATACCCAGGTACTTGTATTTATCACAGTGTCTAATTTCTACCCCTTCGTCTAATAAAGTGGACTGCTTTGTCTTCCCAATACACATATCTTCAGTTTTCTTAATGTTGACTTCGAGACCCCATTTGTTATATTCTTCTATTAGCTTCCCAGTCATGTAACAAGTCGTCATGATCCTGAGCAATCAGTATTTGGTCATCAGCGAAATATAAGGTGTACAGTGTAGTCTCGTCATTGAGAGGGATTCCCATGCCATTACATTTTCTTTTCCACAGCTTGTTCCAGATAAATTTTGAAAAGGGTAGGCGAAATACAGCAGCCCTGCTTTAGTCCTTTCGTGACCTTAAATCCCTCAGATATCCTTGATCCAGTTTTAATTTTTGCAGTCGTTCCATTATACAGACTTTGGACTACTTTGATAAGACCATGCTTAATGTTGGTTTGCTGTAGGGTTGACCATAGTTTACTGAGGGGTACACTGTCACATGCTTTTTGTAAGTCTACGTACACCAGGTGAATTTCTTTTCATAAGAACACCTTATATTATTATTATACTTTACAAGGAACAAGCTTTATGTGGAATTGATCTTATATGAGTGTTTGGAAAAGTATTCAGGACCTACTTAATTATCTTAAATTTTATTATTCAAAGTTATGACCTTATTTAATTATACTTCTTTAATTAATTATAATATACATATTAGCTTATTATAATATGGCTTTAGTTGTACATCTTTTAAATTCTCACAATCAAATTGGCCGACTTACTATTGTCAAGTTCTGAGAATTCACTCTGAAACACAATGTTTTCGGGAAACTATTCATCACCCCAGAATACCTCAGATAAAGTTTTAAAAGTATCATATTCCTCGAGGAAATAACCGATCTTTTGTGTAGAAATTTTAAGACAACAATTTAAGCTTAATTCATTGCTGTGGAGCAGTGGTCCTAAGAACAAAGAAACCACAGTAGTTGACTTCCCTACATACGTATTTTCTCCCGTATATATACGGAGGAGCACTCAGCGTCAAGTGTCCGTCAGTGCATCAAAAATACTATAAGGTCCCAATCGGTACACCAGTCCTAGACGCCGCTGTCTACCAGTCTAGATATCGGCCGCATTTAAAAAGGTAAGTGAATCTGCCAATTGTTATTTGAATTACAATCATCTACATTAAATCCTCATTTACACATATTGCATTTTTTCCTTATCTTAAATTAAATATTAAACCAGCGACCTCAATAAGTTTTACACAAACAATGAGTATGATATGAGATATGAATGAATAAAAAGAAGCAGACGAATCGTCACTTTAATAAAACGTTCCTTGTAAGATTCCCAAGATTTGAAATATTTCCTATGTTTTGTGAATAAATATTGATATTACTGCTCTTGCTCCTTGATCTTTTTTATGTGAAAAAAAAAAATACAATATTTTACCTTTTTGTCTCCATTTTCCTTTTAAGTAAACTTATGTCATATTGGAAATAAAAAGAGATTTGAGAAATTTTGTCCCAAACCAAAATTTTTTGGGACAAAATTAAATTTTGTCCCAAAGTTAAGTAAAAATTACCAAGAACGATCAAAAACTAACTTTTTTAAAAAAATATTGTGTGAATTGAACAGTCCAAGCATTCAAATAAAAGATAAGAAAATTTTTAGAACGTATTATTTATCTTACTCGACTATTATAATTACTTATCGACATTTCTTTACTTACCGACTTTTTCTGTTCGACAGGCTGACTCAGTCCTTTGGTATTGTTGTTTTCAACACTTTGAGATGTACTTTTCTCATTGTCTTCTATTTGTTCTATCACAGAGAATACCTTTTCGGCAGCCACAAAAACAATCAGCCCCGTTAATATCAATAGTCCGCTGTTTGAGATGTGTCCACTTCCTAGATAATAAAAACAGTAAATTACAAGCAGAAAAAACTAATTATTGTAAGTAGGATAACAGTGAATGACTGAGAAGTAGGCTCAGGACACTGATCCACTTTGTGTTTTCGAAGGCACCGTTGCTCAGTTTTTATAGATGATGGGCGCGGTCGTTTAGGGAAGTAGGAAACATGCAGAAGATATAAACAAGAAAATAAAAGAGGAACAGAACAATTGTTCACAACATTTGTGAACATTTGAACAAAAAAAAACATAAATGGAACAGAAAAGAACAAATAAATAGAATTAGTCATATAAACGTCAAAAAATAAAGCAACAAAAATATAGTCAATGCATCTTCTTCTTCAAGTGCCGTCTTCATCAATGGCGGTTATGATGGCAAACGTTTGTCTATCTTCAGCTGCTCTTAAGAGTTCCTCAAATCCAAGTCCTGTCCAGTTTCTGATATTGCGTAACCAGGACAATTTTTTTTCTTCCAATTCCTCGCTTTCCTTCTATTTTGCCTTTTATTATCAACTGAGGGATGTAGTATTTCTCGTTGCGCAACAAATGGCCTAAATAACTGGTTTTTCTTCTTTTGACTGTTCTCAATAGTTCTTTTTCTAAATTGAGTCTAGCTAGTACTTCTTCATTTGTTTTTCGTGCTGTCCAAGGAATTTTTAAAATTCTACGGTACACCCACATTTCAAATGCCTCGATTCTATTCAGGCTCTTTATTTTTAAAGTCCACGTTTTCGACTCCGTAGAGAAGAACAGACCAGATAAAACATTTTACAAGTTTTAATCTCAATTTAATATTTATATGTGTATCGCAGAATAGAACGCGCATCTTAAAGAAACTATCCCTAGCTTAAGCAATTCTCGCTTTAATTTCTTGTTCTGGGTCCAGCTTGCAATTAATCCAACAGCCAAGGTATTTCTATTGGTTTACCTGTTCTAAAATATTCCCATTTATTTTTATAGGTAAGGGGATATTCTGTTTTCTTTGGATCACCATTATTTTTGTTTTTTTTTCGTTGATCTTCATTCCAAACTCTCGACAAGCATCCTTAAGGTGGTCTATAACCCTCTGTAAGTTTGTGTCTGTATCAGCCAGTAGGACAGTGTCATCTGCATGTCTTATGCTAGATATTGGTTCTCCATTCATTTTTATTCCTGTGGAAGGGTTTTCCAAGGCTTGCTTGAATAGTAGATCAATGCATTGTCAGATCTAAATAAACCTTTAACAGGTGTAAAAAGAGCACACATAATAATAAAATAAAAAATTATACTGTTGGGAAAGACTTTTGGAGAATGGTAGAAGAAAAAAACAGGTTCTAACTGAACGAATAAAGAAACAAAGGCTCTTGTGGACCAAAAAATTCTCTAATTGAAATGTAGACGACTGGAGAAAAGTTCTATTTATAGATGAAACTCACTTTATACTTCCGGGATACCGGTCGAAATTGGTCAGGAAGTCTGGAAATGAAAATCTCACCCCCTCTCATATTGATCAAACCGTAAAACATCCAGTCAAAAAATGTTTTGGGGATGTTTTTTATATATGGGGATTAGATATTTGGTACAAATCGAAGGCATGATGAACAGCCAAAAATACAAATCTACGTTGGAACAGCGTTTGGATACAGAACTCTGCTCTCTGTCACAAGTCAAAGCAAATGATGGAATTTTTCAAAAATAAGAAGATTCATGTTTTAGATTGTCCCGGAAATTCGCAAAACCTCAACCCCATTGAAATTGTATGGGCCATTTGCAAAGCTAGACTGCGCAAAATGGACTGTACTACAAAAATAAAAATAATAGAAGCGGTTCAGGTTTGGTTTTGAGATGAAAGGATATGTGGGAACTGTCAAGCTCGTAAAATCTATGCCAAAACGGGTAAATACAGTAATTGCAGCCAAAAGGGGACATATTTCCTACTATAGTGTATTTTTATGTATGAGAGAGTAATAAAACAATAAATTATGTATGTAAATCCCTAAACTGTTGATACGGGTGACTCAATGAAAAACAGATATTTGTCAACAAGTTTACAGAAGTATATAGGAAAACAATTTTAAATTGAGTATGACCACCAGGTATAAAGGTTGGAGCAGGATAGAATACAATAGTTGTGAGGGTTACTAATCCCTAAATAAGGTTGCCAGTGTCGGAGTGATGGAGGTTAACAGGTACTAATGAATTTGCAAGAAATGTAAGATGTTTATTTTATTGGTTATATATAACCAATAAAAGTTTAATAAGTGCCTACCTATTTGCAAAATAAAGTTTAATTCTTTAGATAAAATAAAACGTTTTATTTTATCTGAAATGAGCGCATTCCACGAAGTAAGGGTTTCAACAATCAAACATTTAATTCTTTAATTCCAGGAATCTACGACAGTAATTGACTAGATAATTACCTTCTAAACTTATTCCACAGAAAATGTGATAGTGGGTTTTTCCATTTTGTAGGAAGGTCCAAGTGGCGTATTCAAAATTCTTAACAGTTCACTAAAAGTAGGTACTTCAGTTGCAAGGTGCAGTTTATTGTGTATACTAGTGTTATGGAAAATTTGGAAGTGCCGTGTAAACGCCGAAAAATTGGTCCTTGAACAGTTAATGAAAAAACATTAATATTTAATTGTTTTAAATCATTTACAGACAAACGTTTATGTGAAAGTGTTGATGAGACCGTTGAGTTAGTTAGCAGTACACTTGGTGTTGGGAAATCTACGATTTACAGAGTTATTAAAGAAGAGAAATGTGGTAGTTTACAAATGCCACGTAATGCTCCAGGGAAACCAAAATTTCAAATAGAATATCATTTTAAAGAAGGACTTCGACGGAAAGTGCATGAATTCTTCTTTAGACAAGAATTTCCAACATTGGATAAAGTTCTTGTCTTAGTTCGAGATGATAAGGATTACCCAGAAATGAGTCGAAGTACGTTATGGAAACTTTTAAAAGAAATAGGCTTCCGCTGGAAAAAGAATCCCAGAAAGTCTATTTTATTAGAAAGAAGCGATATTGTCATATGGAGAAGACATTTTCTAAGAACCATAAAGGAAATGAGAAACCAAAAAAGAAACATATTTTATCTTGATGAAACATGGATCAACGAGGGTCATACACCAAATAAATTTTGGCAGGATGAAACTGTTACAAGTCAAAGGCACGCTTTTGTAAATAACTTATCTACTGGTTTAAACCCACCATCAGGAAAGGGACGCAGGCTGATAATAGTACACATTGGCAGTTCAGACGGTTTTGTTGAAGGTGGTTTATTAACTTTTGAATCAACTCGTACCGGTGACTACCATGAAGACATGAACGCTGATGTCTTTCAAGAATGGTTCGAACAAATGATAGATCTTCTTCCTAAGAACTGTGTAATAGTAATGGATAATGCAAGTTATCACTCCAGACTTATAGAAGGACTGCCCACAACCAAGTGGTTAAAAAAAGACTTGCAGAATTGGCTGAGTTCAAAAAATATTACGTACCATCCCGGATCTATAAGAAAGGAACTTTATTCGTTGTGTGCCCTTCATAAAGAAAAATTTAAAAAATACGAAATTGATGCAATTGCCAAAAATCGTGGAATGACAGTACTTAGATCCCCACCATATCATTGTGAATTAAACCCGATTGAACTGGTATGGGCACAGATAAAGAGTGAAGTTTCAAGAAAAAATACCACTTTTAAAATTCATGATGTTAAACAGTTGTTTTTGGAGGCCGTAAATAATGTAAAACCTAAAAACTGGGAAAAGGCAGTAAATCACACTATTAAAGAAGAGGAAAAAATGTGAAAGCTGGACAATATTACTGATAAAATGATCGAGCCAGTTATTATAAATCTTGGTTCTGAAAGTTCATCTTCTGAATCTGATTTGGATTTGTAACAAGTAGCTGTTACAAAAGCTTTGTAACAAGTTTTATATTAATATTTTTATTCATCTATTTAACATACCTTAGACGGTTTTAAAAACTCTTTTTCTCTTCAGTTCTAATATAGTGTGTGATAAAAGTGGTCACTTTTGTTTACATACACATAACACTTTATAACACTGAAATAATTCATTTATTTTTTACAATTATTCAAAGTAATTTTTCAATTAATCTTGAGCACGCCCATGGAGTGGTCGAAGGTACCAGTTAAAATTATGATAATTACTCTCTCGTTCATAAAAATAAACTATACATGGTGTAAGTTTACCTTTATAGTTTTGTCAAAATTTAATTTTTTTTCTAAATAAACTGTTTTTTCATTAAATTCCATTAATTCGCACAGTACTTTACTCTCCCTTTCCTGCTCGTTTATACAAAACTTCTTATTTAAAAATCTGTATAACATTGCTAACTTTATTTCAGACAACTAATATCACACGTCAAGAATGTAGCATGGTCCTGATAATCTTCTTCGTTCCAGACAGGGTTTAAGTATTTATTAACTGTTGAAGATGGGCTGAAGAACTGGCAAAACAAGCTGAAATAGCTGCACAACACAATAGAACTAGAGAGCTATACCAAATTACTAGACGTCTAACAAAAAGTGGGCCCAACTGTTCAAACGTCGTAAGATCCAAGACAGGAGAATTACTTACTACAACAAATGACCAAATAGAGAGATGGAAAGAGCATTTTCAGGAGATGCTAGGCACGCCCAGGGATAACGCAGATGAAATTGTCGAAAATCCACAGAATATAGACTTGCGTATATCTTGCGACGCCCCTTCCAAAACAGAGATAATAACAGCTATCAAATCTCTGAAAAATAACAAGTCTCCGGGAATCGATAACATTGCTGCCGAAATACTTAAAACTGATCCGCATCTAACTGCTGAACTTTTGCTCCCCATAATCCGAGAGGTGTGGGAAACAAACCGCATTCCAGCGGGCTGGAAAATGGCATCATTATTAAGCTTCCAAAAAAGGGCAACCTCACACTATGCAAAAATTGGAGAGGAATAACCTTGCTTACCGCCATAAATAAAATCTTCACGACCATCATACT